ATATATAATATTTCATATTTATTTTCAGACCCTCATTCTGAATTCTGATCGTGAACCATTCTGTGGTGGAATATTGCTGTCCGATAAGTGGGTGCTGACAGCAGCTCACTGCATTCGAAAGCGCCTGTATGTTCGAGCCGGTGAATATGATCTCTCTCACTATGAAAAGACCGAACAAGAATGGTCTGTGTCGGAATTTTGGAAGCATCCTAAATATGATCAGAATACCGTGGACAATGACATAGCATTATTGAAGACGATAAGGCCGTTTCAATTGAATTCTTACGTAACGCCGATATGCTTACCTTTACGAAGCGATAAGCTGCCAGAGTTCGCAAGACTTACAATCTTAGGTAAGTTAAATTTGTAGAAATAGAAAAGTATTAAATTGATAGAAACAGGAGCAATATTTACTCATATTTTGTTCAGTTGTAATGGTTTGAAAAGCATGTACAGAAATTATTTACCAAATCTAACTATATATAAGAATCTAATAATGTCGCAATTTTCCATTGTTGTTCACGCACTTTTATTGTCACTTCATGCACTTTTAACATCACGTGGTAGCATCCTGTTTTTCCTCATTCATTTCCATATTGTTTTCGTTGCCATCAGCATAAAATTAATAAAAATCATAAAAGTATTGTTTTTCTATAAATATTTCAGTATCGCTAATTTAAAGTTATTTTCCTGTACTGCTATTATTACGCTTTTAATTCAAGAGCTTAAAACTAAGAGAATTGTAGTTTTTAAAATTATTATTATAATGTAATTCTACGCTAAGTTTCAAGAAAAAGTTATTTAGAAATGTGGTTAAATCTTCGTAACAGTTTCACAATTATTATTTTTGTGCAAATAACTTTAATATACTGCTATAAATTACAGTTAAAGAGATCTTTTAAATGATTTAGAACTTAATGATCAGCTTTATGCACAATGAGATGCAAGCAAAAATAAGCTTTCGAGTAAGTCAAGCCCGTCAAGCATCAATTATCTTAAGGGACACATTCTAAATTCTTTCACAAAGATTCTTTCTCAAAGATTTCAGTTCTTTCTCTATGTATTTACAAAGAGACTTAACACAAGGGACGAAGGCATGTGGTACATAAACAAACAAATTATGCTTCGAAGTTACCAGGTTCACAAAACAAAAGTATGCCAAGGTTACTATGAAATACATAAACAAATAATAAATTCAAGTTAATTTAAAGAATTTGACGAGAAAGAATTATATTTCAACTAATTCAATGTGCGATAAGGCTCTGTATTGAATTAACTTATCGTTAATTAACATTCTAAATTATGAGGAGAAACTTAGCCCAACTTTAATACGCCATTTTACTGACGTCATAGGTCATATGCGTGGGTATGGGAGGCCATCTTCTTCTTGTTGAAGTTCAGTTCTTCTTGAAGTCTAGTTTGTCTAAAGTAATAACTCCCCTAGCCATTCGTCTGGACCCGTGGCGGTGACTATGGTAACAAGGTATAACTATTTCACGTAGGTTGGGTCATTGTTTAGGATAAGTTTTAGCCGAGATCGGCAAGAGAAAGGGAATCTTTTTTTTCGGTCTATTGTGTTAGGCCTTAAGTAAAGAGAAGCTACCCTCCCTGAAATGCGCTATTCTTGTTTCCATAGCAGCAGACTTTGTGGCGGGAGGAGTTCTTTCTGTTGACAAACTATATCCAATTTTAAACAATTTAATGTTTTTTTTAAATTTTTTTCCATAATGTTCCTGTTCTAAAATTTTATATAACTTCTAACAAATTGTTTATAATTTATTTTTTTACACAAAATTTTAAACAAATTTTGAAAAAGTAAATAAATGGGACAAATATAATTTCAAAACTTTTTATGGATTTATACTGTGTATACTTCTTAATATTTATTATTATTTATTTTTATTTATAACTGTCATTATAGGTTGGGGAAAACGACGGAACTATTCAAACTACGGCACAGACATACTGCATGAAGCTAATGTTCCAATAGTGAATTTTAGAGAATGTCAGAAATCTTATCATGACCAGTACATCAGCGATAATATGTTATGTGCCGGTTTCGAAGCTGGCCTGGTGGACTCATGCAAAGGCGACAGCGGTGGACCTTTAATGTATCAAAGAAAAGATGGCACTTGGGCAGTTTTTGGCGTAACTAGCTTTGGCGATGGTTGCGGAGAGGCCAAGAAATATGGTGTTTATGCCAACGTGTTAAAATATCTATCTTGGATAAGAAATATAATTAAGAGAGGAGAAATATCACTATATGATGATGATGTTGATTATTAGACTAACATGCATTATTTATTAAGAATCTAGCTCAAGTTTTAAAAACAAAAATATTTTACGGATTGTAATTGTGTGGAAATGTATGCAATTCGAGAGATTTCGCAAATTTGAGGTTAGCTTCTATATGCTCCCGTAGGTAAGATTTCAAGTAATTGCGCATGCGTACTGGAAGTGCGCATGTTCGAGTGAAATGCGCACTCGCCCGTGAAAAAAAAAACTTATATAAGTGAAAATAAGAGATTTTTCAAAGATCCGTAAGTTAGAAATGCTACCGTGGTGGAATATCATTTTAACTTTGATCAAAAAATCAAAACAAACATTTACGATGGACGTAGACTATCTCTTTAAAACTGTGGCATACGATTCAAGATGCTTTGCTTTACTTAAAACTGCGGTTCTGTGAGCAGAAAAATTTGGTAGTTTGTAGATATTGTTGAATCCAGCGATAAAGAATGCAGCTTATCGTTATCATTATTAATATTTAAAAAAAATATTGCTAAACTTCTATTGATTATATAACTAAATTGTATAGTTAAAATAAACATAATTTATAATTTTAAAATAGCGAAAATTTATCTAGTTTCTTATGGAACTAGAGCAATTAGACAAACATAATGTTAAATAAAAACCAATAAAATTATTTATTTATTGAATCAACCAATTGTCGAAAGATGACACGATTCATTTCCACAAATTCACATTCCATGTCCATGTTTTTATTTCGAAGGTAGGCTTAAACAGTAAACAGGATTTAACCCCTTAACGATCGGTAAATTTTCAAGAAAACGGTCATAAAAGTGCCGATTTTTTTTATCGGTGCTATTTGATTAGTGCTGACATCTAGTTTAAAATTAACTAACCATCTACAATTACCTTAAAAATATCCTGGTACTGCAATCTGGTGTATAAAATGAGAAATAAAATGTTTTACGGGCAAAATAAATGAATAAGTTTTATTCTTATTGTCGCGTTACTACTGAACACTCCAGCCCGGAAATATCACGGGAACGAGAAATAGAGGGCGAAACCTCACCCCGTCATTTTCACGGGAACAAGAAGGAAGGGTTTAAAAGCTATAAACAGCGTGCTTGTAGCTCTGTCTTTGTAGCGTAAATCTCGCCAACATAACGTAAAGATACGCAGCATCTAAAATAAACGCGAGCATGCGAAGTTGCTTTAATCTTACGTACAGGAGCGTACAAAAACTAACGTAAAAGTGCGAAATCTCCCTCTATTGTCCAAATAAAATTATGTTGCGCTAAATTTCTAATTTCTATCTTAAAATGTGATCAAGACGTTACTCACGAGCTATTAAATTTCAAAGTGGCCGGATCCCGCTATTGGTTGAAAATTTCATCGTTTCTTGTGGCAAGGGAGAGGATGTGTATCGGCTGGTGTTCACTTGACTTTTGCTTCAGATTTCGTTTTCACTTGTGCTCTGGATTTATTTTATTCTTGTAAATATTTATGCAATATTAGTATTAAATTTTATTTTCGTGACTTCGACTCTAATAGAAATTATCACAAAATTGTGCGAATTATAAAGAATACTTTTATTTTGAGCAATTTTAATAATTAAGAAAAATATTTATTTTGTCATATGCATTATACATTATATCATTTATAATGCTGTCTATAGTGGCAGCATTTATATTTATTACCTTTATTGCTCCATACACTTTATTTAATAATGAGCTTCAATTTCAAATATTGCGCTCTTGCCTCTTTAAGGTAAATAAATTATACAACGAGGATAATAGATTGTTAACACATTTATTCGCAAAAATATTGTATAATTTATGTCGTTTTAACAAGCTAGTATTCAAGCTTAAGTTTTGAAAAAAAATATAGTTTTATTTCCTTTTAGTATTATTATTACTTCTAATAATAATGTTAATGCTAACTTTAATGAAGTTAAACTGTTTTGGGCTTATCTAGAATCTATTGTATGCCTTAAATCCTATATAGCTTAGAATGCTCTTTCAAACTCGGTAATAAAGCTAGAAATGTTATAGTAGCAAACTTTTTCACTAGTCTTATTTTATAAAATATACTTGCTTTTTTCAAAATAAATGTATATAGATATCATTTCTTATTGTTTATTTAAATATTTTACTTTATCACAGTACGCATCACAGAGGATATTATTTTTTAAAAGAAAACTAGAATTTTAACGAAAAAGGTTAAGCAGTACTCAAGGAAAAAAAAATCATTATTTTGCAGTTGTGCCGATAACAACCTCGAAAAAACAAAACAAAAACAGTTATTATACATTGTATCTTCTTTCAAGTTTCTCAAAATTGATTTAAACTCTTTCTTTTAACAATTAAGAAAAATATTTCGATGGTCATATTCAATTAAAAATAACCTCACTTTACTTAAAAAACATAATTTTCTAATTAAGAATATGTTATGAATGTTATCAATAACAAGGAAGCAACAAGTAAAGATATTTCAAGCCTAACGCTAGAATTTTTTTTAGAAAAAAAATTATAGAATATATTAACGATCAATTTGTCGCATAATTGTAAATGGTTAAGGTTCCATTGGCTTTGATTTATCTCGAGATATATTCAAGGTTCTACTAAATGTAACACACATGTATGTCTTGACACACATGTACACACACTTGTAACACACATGTACACTTATATCTTGTATCAGATTTAAAGAATAAGGAGGTGAATGTATTGTCACAAGTATAGCATAAATGTTTGTGCAACATTTATGCAACAGCAGCTTTGTGCTACAGCAGCAAAACAGAACAAAATGCCCCTGACCTAGATTTCAGAAAATAAATTCTAACAATTTATTTAATGACCAATCTAACAGCCTACTCTTTGATATTCAGTCTCTTTTAATTTAAGCATTATGCAGCATCATTCAGACTCCAAAAATTTGTTTCTAGAATCTTCCAGAAAATATAGCAATTTTCAGCACTCAATTACAGTATGAATTACCAGCTAGCACACTGAAAATCACAGGCCATGAAACCTCTAACGGTTCACAAGAGGCTCGCAAATCAGACCACTATTGCAGTCACAAGTAGACTGATGTTCTCTATACTCTCTCTGAGGCACACTCCCATTTATAAAGCCTTGGCGACAAAACCCGTAAATTTTCAACATGATTCAAGACGATTCTCGTCTAACTCCGTAAATATTAGTCCTATTTCTTCGAAATTCGAATTTTCCAGAACTATCACTATATCGCCAAAATGATCGCCAAATATAGCAAAATTATCGCGTTTATTATCATAATATTATATATACTGGGAATCCCATTCCTCTCTAACCTGTTTTTTTTTGTTATCTCTTCCTTTTCTTTTGTTTTACTTTATAATTTTTTTGTGATTTTTTAAAAGTTTTTTTTAATACCTGATTAGTAAACCTCTTTTTCCCTTGTTGTAACTTGTTCATTAATTTCTTCAGCATCTCTGTGCTTCCCTATATCATTCTGTATTTAGACGCTAAAATTCTGTTATTTTATATACTATTAAGACTATAAAATAAGGATAATGCCAGCTTTAGAAATGAAAATTCAAAAGCAAAACAAACGTGACATGCACATAATATCTGTTCATCAAGCAATTGAACAAAAAATTGTCACATGTAGAATAGTACCTCTAACACACACCTAAAGAAGTAGGATGGCACCTCTAAACAAACACATAAGTTGTTTGAAATGATGTCCCGAAAAACTTCGCCTGTCAGGGTTCTTATTTGAACACGTAAATCTGTTTCAGGAAGCAAGTATAATTTCACCAAAAACGAGCAGTTCTGCACCATTGAATCGGTGATGTTCAATGATATTGTCTTGGTGATAACGGGATCTCGTTCCTCCTGTAAATGTTTGACGTGAATCAGATTGAAGTTTAACCTGGATTTGGACAAGATTGTTTTTATGGGGATGGGGATGGCAATTAAAAACAATCTTGGATCATACTCAATCTCTGTATATATGTCCGTCCAGATTGCATGCCCTTTATACCAGGCTAAACACCAACAACAGTGCGTTACCTTGAATAGCACATCTCACAGGCTTGTGAATATGAAGGTCTCCAAACTGTGGTGCACGCGGTTGAATGAAAACAGACAAATCTGATGCTGTGCTGCGTCTGCTTGGTACGGCAGCAAAAAACCAATCGTGTTTTGACTTTGTAACTAGACGACGACCAGTGCTGTAACACCAACTGGTGTTTCCATTCTCTTTACTATCAAAGCTTAGATATGTTCCAAGATGTTTATCAGCCAACTACGTATGATCACTTCCACTTGACTGATAATAGTACCTCGTAAAGAATTCGTCTATATGTACCCTCTCCGTCGTAGCTTATGGCACACTGCAGATTGCATGATGCTTGGGGAACTACACAGCTTCTCTGCCGCCAATCCTCGTTTACACTTTTCTCATTCTCTCCTCACAGTGCCATCCTGTCGGCATCATTTGGCGGATCCTTGTAACTTGTAACACAAACTTATTATTTCTGGAGATATGTATGATAATCCGCTGAGTGGAATTTTTATGAGCGAGTACCAATTTAGCGAGTTTAATGTATGGACATGAGTTTAAAATTAAAGCTAAATTATGTTTAATTATTTAGCTTATCGGCTTAGGATTATACAAGATAAAACTTATTTTTGATAGAAACGACTGCTTTACTGTGAGAAATAAAGATGACTATGAAACAATTGTTTGAGAGAGGTTGACGAGGGCTGGTGAGCTGAATGAGAACGGGATTCCGCATCGAAGTATTGCAATCAAAGTGCTTCAATTTGTTGCTGTTGTTGTAGTGTCCATGAATATGGGTTGTTCTCTAGATACCAGTAAAGGAGTGGTTTTACATATTTTGTAACACATATAAATAAATCTATGTTTTTTTCTAATATTGAACTGAATTCAGAATTATTTTTATTTCGCAAGTTCATTTAGCAATATAATATTTTTGCTTCTTGTAGAATTAATCATATTGTCTTATTTTTAAAATTATAAATTATAATTTCTTTTCGATGACATTATAATTTATTAATATATTTATTAGATATTCTAATTATGATACAATTTTTTTATAAGCGGTAATACACTAGAATTCCTCCTCGCCAATTTTTATATTGATAACAAGCAGCGCGTAGGTAAGCAGAGCTCCAATGAAAGTTAGTATCTGTCCTCTTCTAAATGGGATAAGGTTGCAAGCAGACATTTCAAAACAATCTTTCCATACAGCAGCTTTCAAACCTTTCAAAACAGTTTTGTCAATGTTGGCATCCTGTAATAATCTTTCATACATCGTTTCAAATTCTTTTTTCACATTTTTCACTTTTAAATGAACTTCAGATGCTGTTACCAACAAGTATCCTAAAGATATTCCAGAAAATGTGGCATTGTATGCAGTTATTATCATAGCTATGGGCACCATATTTAAAGAAAAGATAAAAACCCAAACTAAGCAAAAGCAAATATTTAAGAAAGATATTAGGCGACACATAAATGCTGGAACAGAAAGGGCGTCGTTTATTTCTTCAAAGAGCCTCATCATATCAAAGAAGATCTGAATGACATTCATAGTTGGAACGCTCTCTTCAAACTGCATGATTTGAATTTTGTATAGTGTTGTTAATTTGCTGCAATCCCTGTACAATGTTCCCACTGTTAAAGTTATTAATGAAGGATATCCGGCAGTCAGCAAATAATTTCCAAAATAACGAAGTAAACTGATGATGTTGTAAATCATAATTGATTCAGATATTTTACTATAACTCCAATGCATTAAATAGCTTTTGTCTGTCAGGTTAGCTAAAATTAAAATAGATGCCACAGGGAATACTACTGATAAACCAAGTAGAATTAAACTGGCATTTAACCAAGCAGCTTTATTAATATAGCTGGAATAATACTTGCATCTGGTATCATGAAGCTTTACCAATATTTTTCGAATTTGCAAAGAGCGTTTCCTCATAGAAAACCATAGAGCGTAAGAAATAGTACTGTAAGTAACAGAGCAACTCATATATTTAAATAGAGATGGCATCGAAATAAGTAGCTCAATGTTTAAATAAACGAATTGAAAATAAACGAGAGTAAAGTAGGTAATAAAGAAATACGATTCAAATATTTCTGCGCAAGATTTCAAACGTGATCTTCTATCATCATTCATAACGTGAGTACCGAAAACACGTAACGTTTTCCATAAGAAACCATGATTTCGAAGACAATCATCTGTTTCCTTGTGAGAAAATTTCTCTTTAACTTTGGAAAGTCGCGGATTTATGGTTGTGTTTTCTTTGTAATATACGAGGTCGAACATTGTAAATAAACTGTTTTATAGAATCTTTATTTAATATGAATTTAAATATTGCACGAGAAGCTTTGGTTTTTGGAAATTTTATTTGTGAGACAACAATATAGGCTACGAGAATTATAAGTTAGCTTCTTGTTTTTATTATTATTATTATTTTTAATATACGAGACCGCGCATTGTTTATTCTCTTCTTTAAGTACCTTTATTCATTCGGAAATCTGATATTTCACAAGAATTATTGATCAGAACATGTAATAAAAAGAGTTCTCGAACATAATTGAATTGATAGCCTACCTTAACTGCAATATGGCTGATTAATCAGCACAAAATCCATAAAAATAGATTGATAACTTTAATAAGAATATTTTGTTCCACACTGAAGCAGTTTGGGCTGAAGAGTGAATAGAAGGGCTAGGTGAAGAGACTCTCCGAGCTTCTGATTTCAGTAAGAGACGTCACGGCGATGCATCATCAACGCTTCAATACAAACAGCTTCGTATGTAATTAGTATTCTTTTTTTAAAAACTTATTTCAAAACGCTCATTGTTTCCCATAATTTTTATTTTGAGGCAATTTCCTTCTCATATGGTTGCAAGAATTTAACAGTAGTTGTAAATTTTCAGCTTGCGTGATAGCGATCGGCAAGAATTATTATAAAACACAAAATGACAAAAAGTAATTTTCCATGTTTCATTTCAGAAAGTATAAAGGTGACATCAAATGAATTATAAAATGTACTAGAAGAATTTATCCTGCTTTGGGAGAATAAAACAGTATTATGCTTTTAGGT